CCCCCTTCCCTCCTTCTTTCTCCTCTTCCTCCTCTTCCCCCTCCCCCTCCTCCTGCTCCTTCTCCAGGTCCGATGCGAAGTCGGGACGGACAGATCTGATTTTCCTCATCCGCTTTCGGCACTGCTGCCTGCTCCGAAACCAGCGCTGCATCCTGGCCTACCTGTGAGTGCGGGGGGGGGGGAGTCGTCGGGGGCGCAGCTCCCCTCCCAAAAGACAGAGATCCCGCTGGAGGTGCAGTAGCAGGGCGGCTGCGGGTGTCTCTCCTTGGGTTGGTTGCTGGTACCGCCAAGAGAAGGACTTGCTTCCTCCTCGCTCTTTAAAAGTTTTAATTACTGAATAGGCAAAAAATCGCATCTTTTTTAAAAACATCACATCTTTTAAAGGAAGGTGGGTGAAATGGCCCAAGGTTTTGCTCCCTGCTTTGAGGGCAGGACTAGGAGCATCGGTGTCACCCCGGGTATGCTGCCAACAAAGATGCTGGGGTTTGTCCCTCATTTCTTCCCCCAGGTATGACCGGCTGCTGCGGATCCGAGCGCTAAGGTGGGAATACGGCAGCGTCCTGCCAAACACCATCCAGTTCCACATGTCAGCCGAGGAAGTGAGTCAGTCTTATCCTAAACTCTTCTCCTCTTTCCACTTATTCCTCCTGAGAGATCGTCTGTTTAGCAGGGTTGAAATCGGGTAGACTCTCTTCCCCCACTATAAACATGACGCTTGATGTGCCTTTCTGTAAATACCGATCTGTTTATTCGTCGTCTGTGGGTACAATCCCGAATGGGTACTGAGGGCGGGTGACGCTTGGCACTTTTAAAGACCGGTCTTCACTAGGTCAGACTTACAGCCAGCAGAACTAAGGTCTTCACACGCTGCTCTCATTTGAGAGCATCTCTAGACCAACGTACAGAGCTGCTAATGTTAGCAGCACGTGTCCTACCCCAAATCCAGACGGTTTTGCCTCTGGGCCAGTTCTTCCCTTTGGAAGAGCTTGCGTTCACCTTTGGCTGGCACGAACACACTTGGGAACAGTGGTCCAAGAGCACAAATAAACTAGATCTCGTTCCTCGGGGACCTGTCGTTCAGCATCAAGCTGTTTAGCTTTGCCTGAGGGATCGCTGTTCACATCCGCAGGTGGAATGGTTCAACCGGTACAAAAAGTCGCTGGCTACCTACATGAGGTCAGTAGGAGGAGAGGAGGGGCTGGACCTTACGCAGGACATAAAACCTCCCAAAAGCCTGTACATTGAAGTAAGTGCAAGATCGGTGGTTGCTGTCTGTGAACAAATGTTTTGCCACACCATCTTTTTTTTTTTGAGAATTTTGCCCCCATCCCAGGTCAGAAGGTCATGAAGCAAAGCCTTCAAGAGCACCCAAGCTTCTACATTTTTATTCTTTACGCTCTGCCTGCTGACGTTTTCCTTCCTCTTCTACTGAGGGCTCAAAGCATATTGAAAGATGGCATTTCTAGTCCGCAGGGAACTAAAAGCTGGGGTGGGGTAAGCGGTCTGAATCCCAGCAAGAAGTTTTTGCAGCATTTTGATGAAACTGAACCAACTCCCAGATCAAATACAAATTTTGTTGCCATGTTAAGGATCACTAACTGATTTTTAGACTGAACATTAAGAAAGAAGTTTTCACAGAAAGAGTGGTCGGGCATTGGAATAGGCTGCCCAGGGAGGTGGCTGAGTCACCATCCCTGGATGTGTTTAAGAGCTGTTTAGACGTGATGTTAGGGGATATGGTATAGGGGAGAACTTTGTAGAGTAGGGGAGATGGTTGGACTTGATGACCCCAAGGGTCTCTTTCAACCTAGACGATTCTGTGATTCTATGATTCTTTGTTGTGGTTTTAAATGGACTCTGATAGATGAGGCTATATAGTGTTTTACAGGGTTGATACGACAAAGCAAGAGCATGTGAGAAATCAAGAGTGGGCAGCTGAAGTGCTGTTCTGATGTTCTCTTCGCACGGGTAGTGATGATTAACCTGCTCCTTAAGTCAGTTTCACTGTTAACAGGCTGGCATTTTCTGGGGTGTGCGCGTGAGGAGGTTCTCCTGAAAATGCTGCTGCTCTTCCCCAACCCTGTGGAGGGCTGGGCCGGGCTGCTCGCTGGTGCTTCTTGCTCCAGGCAGAGGCAGGAAGAGAATGTCAGGTAGAGCCCACAGACCGTGGGATGGGTCCAGTTCTGCATTTCCTGGTCTGCTCCATACTGAAGCTCCAGCAGGCGGGCAGGAAGGCGGCCATACTTAGGGCGGCAAGTCAGCAGCGATGTCTGGCGTTTTCTGTGGGACACCTGATGATCTGAGCACTGCGTTTCCGCTTTGCAGGTGCGGTGTTTAAGAGACTATGGAGAATTTGAGATCGATGATGGTACCACCGTCCTGTTGAAGAAGAACAGCCAGGTACCCATAACGAGAGCGTGGTCCATTCTCTTCCTTCCCTTTCACTCCTGTGACATCCCCCTGCTTGTCACGGCGCCTGCACGCACAGCTCCTAGCACATGCTGCGAGCTGTCTGTGTGGCACGGGGCTGCGGTTCAGCTCTGCCTGATCTGGTATGATGACGCAGCAGGCACACAGCACAACAAACAGAGCTGGTCGTGCGCAGCGATGCATCCAGTCTGCCTGGGTTTCAAGGAAAGTTTGTCTTTGTTTCTCTGCAGCACTTTTTACCCCGCTGGAAATGCGAGCAGTTAATAAGACAAGGAGTCCTCGAGCACATTCTGTTGTAAGCGCGCAGGACAGGAGGGACAGCTCTTGCTTGGTGGCCTGCCCACAATGGGGGACGGAACTCTGGGGTGTGCGGGACTTCAGACACCTCAGCATTTTGGCAGTGCTGCTCCTCTTAATGGCCTTTGGTACCTGCATGAAGATCAGCCCTGAGTTTATGAAGTATGCAAACCACATCGGCCAGCTCTTCATGACCGAAGGGTGCATACTGGTAATGTAGCGAGCCTGGGAATGCAGCATAGTGGGGGGGTGGCATGGGGGCAGTGTATTACCCAAGCAGGTTTTGTGAATGCATTTTTGTTTGGAGCAGTTCTTTTGTTCGCACTGTGGATGTGGGAGCAAGAGACCGACCGGCTGGGCTCTGGAAGCCAGGGGAGCTCCACAGTTGCAAAATAAAGAATTGGTTCAGCCTTCAGTTTAGTGTTTTTCAAGAGTTAATGTTGTGTTCGTTACGAAACAACGTATGAAACTCTGGCTCAACCCATCCTGACCCTGCAAGGTGATACTCAACTGGTTAATTAGGTGTCTCAGTGGAGCTGTTCCTCCAAGTGTCAGATGAGGCTGCACAAGCTTCTTTCTAGGATTAGACATGAAGCCTTCTCTCCCATCAGCGGCCTATAAACGTTGTTTCTTAAGGTGCTGAGTTGAAGGAGCACTGCAGTCTGGGTCATGGGCCTGGCCATGGTTCCTCCCAGCACGCTTGCGCTGTCCCTCTGTGAAAAGTCTCCTTCCCCAGAGCATTAGGACTATTTGGAGTATGGGTGGGAAAGGGTGCAGAGGGTTTTATAAGGATTCCAGTTAGCACAAAACCAAGGCTGAAGAGCTGCTCCCCCTGTCTGGTTTTCCTAATGGAGCTGCTCACTCTCGAGTAGTGGCTGGGAGATAACACTTGTAAAAACATAAGCCCTAGGTAAGGCTAGAGGTTTGCCTTGCCCCCATCTGTGACAGGAGCCAAAAAGCAAATACCTTAGGGAAGAATAGAGGAACAGGATCGATGCCTGGGGCATTACTACGTTGCTCTCCTAGCCCCAGCCAAGGAACCTCCCTGAGCGTTGGGAGGTTCTGTTGGGGCTTCCCTCATGGCCCTTGTAATCAGGGCTGCAAAGAGGAGTCAGCCATCACCCACCAGCACAGAAAAAGCATGCCTAGATCAAAGTGGCCTCCTCAGTCACAGCCTCCTGCCATCTCCTGGCGCTATCCCCAGGGCCGGGGCATCCCTCTGCCCTGTCAGGCTGGGAACTAAAGGCAGCGGCTGGGTTTTAGCTCACAGCCAATTTATCTCCTTTTGTTCTTGAACCAACAACAGCTTGAGCTATTTTTAAGCCCTATTCTTTGTATTGACTTTGTCCAGCCTCTGCTTTGCTACCCTCATCCAGTCAGGCTTGTCTAGTCTTTCTTGTACAGTAGTCTCCATAGCACCCAAAATCCTAGGAGTCCTTTCACAGCTAGTGGCAACCACAGCCCCCATGGAAAGATCCTCTGCTCTGCAAAGAGCAAGGCAGGGGCACAGTGACAACACCGCATCCTCCAGGCAGAGGGAGGGCAGATCCATAAACTTGGTATCTGCTGATGTGAATACTTGGCTTTGTAGCCTTTCAGACAGCTTATTTTGGCAAAAGCAGGACTCGCTGCCAGTGTGTGAAGGCCAACAAGGAAGGCAAGATGACATGGTTCACTTTCCACGTCTCCTGGTCTCCTTTGAAGAAGTGCAGTGCTCAGTAGGGGTCACCAACACCGCTCCAAGCCTTGGAGGCTCAAATTGAAAGAAGGCTCTTCCCTCATCCCCTTTGTCCTGCTCACCACAGAGGCAACAATCTGGCAGCAAGCTGGTTTGGATCCTAGGCTGAGGCTTTAGGAAGGCCGGAGTCTCCTGGAGCCCAAGAGGAGCTGTAGGGAATAGAAGTCCAGCAACGGTTGTGGGAGGCGGCTGAAATAGAGAGCAGACTGGAGATGGCAGGAGGTGCTGTAATACTGCAAACATTTTAATGCCACAACACAGCTTTCCTGCTGGGAGTGAGCCAGATGCAGGAACCTGCAAGCCTTCTTGCAGCCCTGGCTTCCCACCTGTAACAGCATGACCCCAAGAGCAACCCTCAGTAGAGGGAGAGCGTCACATCACCACCAAACATGCTGCCAGAGTGCAGGCAGCTACTGTGGGATGGCTGGTCCAAGACAGACCTGACTTAGAACAGTGCACAGTGCCACTGAGACCGGCACCAAAGCTGGTCCTTTCAGTAGGAAAATTCAGCTATCCACAGAACCCATTTCCTTAAAGGACTCTGTCTGGTTTCTCAGTTTTCTCCATTCTACCCAGGAAAATCCTGGCGACAGCAGGGAGGCCAAGACTGATTTCCCAACCCCATCATCCCTCCCCTTCCGCACCTGACAAACCCCGGCCAGGACCAGGACCAGGACCAGGGCTGCCACAGCAAGTGCCCCATCACCCACTCAGAGATGCTGGCGTGATTTTTCCAATGAGCTGCTTCAGGGCTGAGGCTTGCTCTTCTAACAGCTGGTTCTTCTCTTCAGTGCTCTTCTGCTTCAGCTCAGCTGCCTGCAGGGCCATTGCAAACCCCCTTTTCTCCTCACGGAGGTCTTTGATCAGCAGTTTGTTCCTGGAGAGTTGGGCCTATGGCAGGGACAGGAGGCTTAAGGTTCATCATTCCTAAGCAGGGGTCCCAGGCAGGCCGGGACACACAGCATTAACCCCTCTTGTGCTCACCTGTGTGTCCTTGAGCTGAGCTGCTCTCTCTGCCAGCACAGCTTCAGCACTCCTCAGATTACGCTCCAGCCCCTCTGCGTCCTCCACAGCTGCCTGCAGCAGATGCTCGTGTTCCTCCTGCAGCAGTCAATAAAGCCTAACATGGGGTTGTCCCAGCACTCACATGGCCCCTGGCAACCCTGGACCATGCATTTCCCTAGAGCCCCCCTCTCAGACCTTCACGCTCCCTGAAGGAGAGTGTGGGGGGATCAGCAGAGGTGATGCAGGATTCAAAGAGCAGCAGGACAAGTGTCTAGAGCAGTACAACCTTTCCTAGGTCAGCACCAAGCAGTTTTAAGACAAGGCACAGATTTCCCAGCAACTATGTCCAGAAAAGCCCAGGGAGAGACATAGTTTCCCTGGATGCAGTTTTTGTGTCTGCTCATTTGAATTCCTTAGGTTATAATTTGCTCCATCTTTGCCCAGGTTAGTTCAACTGAATCAGTGTCCTGAAAGAAAAGGACAAACTCACAAAAAACCAACAGCTTGTTGCCCAGCACCCTAGACAGAAAACCACCCTGCTCTGTGCAGGCTACATCTCCATGTAGAGGGCTCAAACCTGCTTTCTCCAGCCTCAGCCAACACAGAGTGTCTGCCTGCTCATCTAGGCACAAGGTATCTGGTCTGGGGTAGGCGGATTAGGGTGGGGAGGGCTCCTGTTTGAGTGCAGGGAGATGGCTGAGTTCGTGAGGAATGAAAATTGCAGCTGAATTTGAAGATCAAGTGCATTTTCCGCATGGGCTCTTCATATATAGCATCTTCCGCCCAAACCTCTGGAGGCTTCAGCCACAGCTGCCTTCCAGGCTGGCAGTGCTCCCTCCCCAGTACCCTTCACTGAGTTCCTGTGATTCCCTGCTTACCTGAATCCTGACCAGCTGCCTGCATGTCTGTTCAGCCTGCCGGTGGAGGTTTTCCTGGAGCTGCTGAGCCTTGCACTGTTCCTCTCTCAAGCTGTTTTGCAGCTGCTCGAACTGTTTCTTTGGCACCATGTTGTTCATCTGGGCCTTAGCCTGCTGCAACTGCAGAGCGTGCCGAGTCTGGGCCAGGCTCAGGCTTGCTTTGGCTTCTAAAAGCTGAAACACAGAAAGGCCAATAGCTGGTTACAGCTTTGGGCAAGCAATGGGACGGACCCAGGGTGTGCTGCGGGTGAAGGGAGAGGTTAGGAAGCACCCTTAGCCCTTGCCTCAGCTCTCACGCCAGCGTGGCCACAGCAGAGCAGCAGGACCATGGGACTGCTGCTTGCTGGGCACGTACAAAACCAGGGATGGCAAACACTGAGAGCTGCAGGAGGAGAACAGGGACCCCTTGCTGAGAAATGCTCCCCTCACTGAGCAGCGAGGAGCAGGAGTTGCTGAAGGATCCTCTGGGAGGAAGTCCTCACACCAAGGGCTGCAATGGCAGGAGGCAGAGGGGGCTGCTCACCTGGGTTTGTTCTTAAGACAAATCCCAGGCAAGCTGGGCTTCAATCGCTGATTGTCCTGTGTGTCCTCTGCTTCCCACCACCAGCAAAGGGCAAGCCTGGTACTGGGAAGCAGGTCTGATCCAGCTTTGCCCTAGGGCTACCTAGTGGTGGCTGGCATGGGCAAGTGTATTCTGGAAAGCCATTCCCTGAGCCTGTCCCCAGGGTAGAAGGCAGGAGAGGGACATTAACGCACTTGGAGGTTTCTCACATCAGCTTTCCTCTGCCTCAGTGGTCCTTGTTCCCCTGCTCTGATCACCTCGTTTCACTCTCCTCAGACATGGCCTGCCTGGCCCCTGTCATCTCTGCCCAGCCCCTACCTGATCCTGCCACTCCTCTAGCTCCTCTGTCAGCCAAGCTATGGGGAACCACAGCTCCTGGCACTCCTCTGTGAGCCACCTCTGGTCAGCCTGCATCTCCTCTGCCCAGCTAGCCTGCACAGGACAAGGACAGAAGGGACACCACAGGGCCAGCTGTGAGCAAGGACCCCATCCCAAGCTGCGTCTGAACCAGCCTCGGACATATCTGAGCAAGAGGGTGAGTCCTTTGTCCCCCACAAAGAGGAAGAGGACAGTCTCTTCTGCCTGGGGAAGGTGTCCAATACAGCCCCGAGCAGGGCAATACCAGTATCACAGGGACCACTCAGCAGCCTGCCACTCTGCCACCAACTGAATGACACCCACCTTCTCCTGCGATGTCTTGAGCTGCTGTCGGAGCAGCTCCGTCTCCATCCAACATGCTGCATGCTGCTGGTGGTGCTCCAGCCTTACAGCCGCCTCTGCTCCTTGTAGCCATTCACTCTGGAAAAGGTTGAGAAAAAAAACAACTCACGCACAGAGGCTTGGGGTGGGAAGAGAGGCAACACAGACTAAACCTGTCCCATGCTGTCCCCACTGGATTCCCACTCAGGAACACCGCTGTCGCTGCAGAGCCTTGCGGGCACTCAGGACAAGTGCCCTTATTTCCCAGCCTGACCAAAGCCCCG